GCGGGCGAGAGCGGGGAGGCGGGCGAGAGGCCAGAGAGAGGCGGGGAGACCGGCGAGAAGGTGGCGAGGCGGGCGAGAAGGCGAGGAGACCGGCGAGAGGCGGGGAGGCGGGTGAGAAGGCGGGCGAGAGGCAGGCGAGAGGCTGGTCGGAGGCGGGGGCGGGGGGCGGAATGCGACGCCGAGCCCGAGCCGCCAACCTCGGGGTTGGTCGAAGGCGGGCGGGGCGGGGCGCGAGTGCGAGAGGTGACCCCGAGTGCGACCGCGTTGGCGGCTCGCACTCGGGGCAGGTCGAGGGGGGGTGCCAGGGTGGGAGGCGAAGGAGGCTTCCCCCAGCGAGACCGCGTTGGCGGCTCCCGCTCGGGGGTTGGGCGAAGGAGGGGGCGGACGTTCCGCGCGGTGGGCCGGCGCACTTGCAAGCGCAAGACGACGGACGGCGCACTTGCAAGCGCTGCGTCCGGCGCATTTGCGAGCGCGGCGGAGAGCAGAGTGAGCTGACTCGAGTCAACCAACCACGTCACGATTTAATCACGTGACCGGTGTCAGCCGCGTTGATTCGTCTAAGTCCGCTTTGGGCTGCCTTCCAGATAGCACAAACTTAATCACTTTGTAGATAGTTATAAGTATGTATCAGTCTAATAGTATATAGAGTGACTAATATTATCATTCAAGACCTGAGTCTGGTTTCAATCATGGTATTTGTGCATTGGGAGACCTGCTATCATTACTATACAGATACATACCAAATCTATGGGTGCTATATTGACTGCACCTATGAGCTATGTATCACCATGTAGCTAGTACTTTGAACTATATTACCTATAATTACTATATAGCACTATATAGCAACTGTCCTACTTCTACATAGCAACCATAGCACTACATAGCAACTGGGCAACTTCTATATAGCATCCATAGCACTCCAATAGTGTCCATAGTTCTGAGGGGCAGCTATATAGATAAAGATTTTTTCAGATGAACTGGGATACAGCAACAGAACTTGCGGCCCATAACTATTCGATACGTGGCGGGTGTTTGCAGACCCCAGGAGTTGCGGAGGACAGGACAGAGCAGATGGGCCCAACGGATCAGGTCAAAACAACCGGTTTATATGGAGGGTTTCACTGCATGTCACTGCATAGGCACGGTCGAGCGGGCAGCGCGGCGGTTTCTCTGCAGCGCATCTCGGACATACAGTACATTCATTCCACTGTCGAGGGCGCAGCATCGCCTCTCGGTAGCTCTAGGGTGTAGACACTCTGCCGATATGTCGCCTAGTCCTCATTGAAGCTATTTGACAGTCATGACGTTGATCGTAAGGAGATAGACCCGCCGAGTGTTTGTAGTATAATGTAGCACCGACGGGCATTGCACAATGGGTGAGGCATTCCTAGATGATAAAGCCCAATGGGTTTGGTCTGGCCTTCGATGTTGAATTGGCGCTCTACAGCCACCGATTCACAGGCGCTGGCACAGCCCGCCTTGACTGCCGTCCTCGGCACAGCTGTATCTATTTCTGACACAATAGGCTGTGCGTTGCTACGTTCCACAGCCTTCTTTATTGTTCTATAGCTTAGCATGTGATTGCACCGCATAGCCACTCTCTGTAGTATATATACAGGCCTGTCTGAGCGTTGCAATATAAGTCGCTTTACTTCTGTCCTCCACAGACTGAGACTTACCCAGACTCAACCAGGTGAGCTTGACGTCGCCCGCCACTGTGTGCGGCAGCGCAGCTTTCACAGGTTATGAGCCCTGGGCTCGCTGGGGCCTGCGTCGATGACGGTAGCATTCTGCACCGCGTCCGCAATGCATTGAGACGGTTGCACTCCGCACCGACTCTGCACCCTGGGTGCCCTGCTCGCCTGAAGTGTCGCCTTTAATGGCTTGACGCTGTGGTGGACAACGCGTAACGCCTCTCGGCGACGCGTAGCACGGCTTAAGGCCGTTGCTCCACTGGTGATCTGCAGCGCTGTCATGCGCTGGTCGTTTAGTTGATTCATTACGCTGACGACTGTTTCTTTCAACCAGATCTTACCAACTCTAACAACACTCTACGCTACTATGTCGTCTGCTCTGTACCAGATCGCCGAGCTCACCGGTGCTAACTACCAGCACTGGGCCTCCGACATGCAGAACTACCTCATGGCGCACTCGCACTGGACTGCGATCGTCAATCCTCGTCCTGCTCTCTCTGCAACCCCCAGCGCTCAGCAGCTCAGCGACGAGAAGGCCTGGGTCGACCACGACATGCAGGCTATGGGCTGCATTAATTTGCGCCTCTCCATGTCTATTCGCTCCAACACCTCGGACCTCACGACCGCCGCTGCCATCTGGCAGAGGCTGAAGAAGGACTACGGTTCTCTCGCTCTAGGCAACGTCTACCACGAGTTCTCTGCTCTGCTGGCGACGAACATCCCTGGCAACTCGCACCCCGCTCCTGCGCTCAACAAGATGCAAGCGCACTGGGACCGCCTCAAAGAGGTCAAGGTCGTTTCGACCTCTGCTCTTGCTACGGCTCGCTCCCATACCGCCACTGCCAGCATCTCTGCCGCAGGTTCTACTGCGATCCCTGCCACCGAGCCGCTCCCTGAATGGCTTCTCGCCATGTTCATCATCGCCAAACTCCCGCCGCAGATGTCGTTCATCAGCCATCTGCAGCAGCAGAAGCAGCCTGCCGAACTCGACGTTGACGACATTCGTCGTCAAGTTATCCTCGCCTACGACCAGAGGCAGCTCCACGCCTCGTCGAGCAAGAAGCCCAACGACACCGCCAACAAGCTCAGCGCTGTCAAGCGCAAGCAAGGCGATCAGTCTTTCTCTCAGCAGCAGCGCCCTAACGGGCAGCAGCAGAAGCAGCAGCAGTCCTCGCAGTTGCAGCAGCGCCCTCAGGGGCAGCAGCAGCACTCGGACAAGCGCCGTCGCGGTCGCTCTGGCCGTGGCAAGGGCAAGGACAAAGGCAAGGGGAAGGCGTACGTCGCCGACTGCGACCACGATGTCACTATGGCATCTGTGGCAGTCGCCGCTGACGAACCTAAGCCGGCTCCACGCCGTGCTCCCTCTCCGTACGTCGCCGATCGTCGTATGTTCAAACCGGTTGTGAAGGTGACTGAACCCTCCACCATTTACCCTAGTGTGAATGGAGCGCTGAAGCTTGCTCGCGACTTAGGGATCAGGCCCACGCCCGAGCAACTGCGGGTCCTCGAGGCCACCGTTGAACAACGTCGCGTCCAGACCCTCAACGAGGAGCGCGACGCCCTCCGCGCCGCCACGCTCAAACACCTACTCGAGTGCCCTGAAGAGGACACCTTCGAGAACCACCTCGAGCATAAGCGCCGGATCGAGGCGGTCAACCGCCTCAAAGGGACGTGGCACTACGCCTACTGCGAAGCCGAACCCCCATGCCGGACGCAGGCAGACCACAATTTCTGTCCTGCCATTGAACCATTCTGCACCGCGGAGACGCCCTGCCGCACCTTCGCCGAGCACAAGAAGTGTCCGGCCCTCGGTCTCTCCTCTGTCCCAGCGGCAACGAGACCAGCAGGCGCGACAGGAGCAAGGCGAAGCCCCTCACCCGGTACCAGCTCGGATCCTTCGCTTCGAGGAGTTCCCCCCACTCCGCCATTCCGCGGAACGAGCGACTCGAGCGATGAGGAATGCGGAGCAATCAGCTCGCATTGGAGCCTGGCAAACGGCTCGCCGACCCTCGACTCCGATGAGGAGGCCCTCCGCGCCTTCAAGCGCGTCCGCCTCTCTCCCTCCTCTGACGGAGGATCATCTGACTCCTCTTGGACGTCCGGCCGGCCCAACCTTATGGACCGGATTTCGCCGCGCCCCACCGGCACCTCGTCAACACCGCTCGCCGAGCGAATCTCCTCGCGAGCGCCGACACCCGAGTACGTCCCTCCTGACGCCTCCGACGACGAGTGCGACGACTTCGTCAGCATTGGGTCGCGGAGTGAATCACCTCTGGGAGATGATCCAGGACATGCTGGACCATCCCGATGGTCAGGCATGATCGTCGATGATGAAGAGGATGTTGGGTACGTCCCTTCCTATCCCCCTACACTAAACATCGCTAACTTATCTGCTGCATCTTCGCGCGATAATATAGCCGCATGTAATATACTTTGCGATGATGTATTGTGTAGTAATAACGATTGTGTGCATTCGCTCTCATACTCTGCGTGCGCCGATTGTAAGGGAAAAGGAACACCAAGCCAAGTCTTTTGGATGTGTGACTCTGGAGCATCGTATCATTTCACAAATGACATAAATGACTTCATTGAGTATAAGCCATTCGATGCGCCATTAAGGCTATCGACGGCCAATAACCACACCAACATGATTGGCGAAGGGACTGTAATCCTCAAAACCAAGAAGGATACCGTACAGATTGCTGGAGTAAAGCTTGTGCCTGACATTAATATGCGGCTGCTTTCTCTTGGCCAGTTTCTGCAGAACGACATGACTGCACTCTGCGACTCAGAGGCAGTAAGAGTGTTAACTGAACAAGGAGAACCGTTTCTAACGTTCACTCCTCGCGTATCGGGTGATACCATCTATGGTGTCCAGACCCTCCCCGACAAAGAAATGGAGGTCGTCGACATGGTCTATGCTCTGGATTACCAGACATGGCACCGTCGTTTTGCTCATCCTTCAAAGGATGTGCTTCGACATGCTCGGAAACACGTCTCCGGGTTTACACCTGTTGAGATACCCACCGAGGAACATATATGCCGAGGTTGTGCGCAAGGCAAAATGCCTTTGCGACCCTTTCCTACTCACCCTGTTCGCGCTGAAAGAGCGTTTGAACTTATCCACTCTGACATCAAGTCATTCCCAATCGAATCGTATCACAAGCATAAATATGTGATAACGTTCTTGGATGACTACACTTCGTTTGCTTGGATAGTTTGCCTGCGCACTAAAGACGCGGCACTACCAGCAATTAAACACTTCATGGCAATGGTCAAGAACCAGTTCAGTTCGACCGTTGAGAAGTGGATGTCGGATGCAGGGGGAGAGTATAAGTCCAAAGCCTTGGACGACTACTTTAAAAGTAACGGCATCAAAGTTCTTCAGAGCGCACCCCACACACCACAGCAGAATGGTCGTGCTGAGCGGTATATGCGCACTTTCATGGATAAGGCTGAGTCGATGCGCTTTGACGCTTGCTTGCCTGAATCCTGGTGGAATTTCGCTGTCGAGCATGCAACGCATGTATACAACAGAACTCCGGTTGTGCGCCTTAACTGGAAGACACCGTATGAGTTTCTGTATGGTAGACCACCGCGAGTCGATCACTTGCGAGTGTTTGGATGTGGTGCATATGTTCACCTCCCCGCCGATGTTCGAAAGAACAAGATGTCTCCTAAGTCTGAACTTATGATATACATCGGCGTTGCGGATGGTATGGAAACGAACTTCAAGTTCATGCGCCTACCCAACAATGTGATATTCACATCTGCCCATGCGTTATTTGACGAGACACTGTTCCCTAAGTGTGCGAAGCAAAAGCAAACGAAAAACACGCGTATTGGAGGTCCGCGATCCAAAGACACCAACCACCCATCGGGTCAACCACCCGTTCCTTGGGACGACGATGATGAAATTCCGTCGGCTCCTGTCCCCACTATAACTCCTGAAAAGGGGAAAGGCAAGGCGCCAGACGTGGCACCTGAGCTTCCTTCGACGCCCAAAAGGGAGCGGTCGAGGACTCCTAGCCCAGTACCGCCTGAACAACCATGGCAATCTCCAAGGAGATCCGGTCGCCTCAGGAAAGTGCCGAAGCGAGAGGGCAATATATATGGTGAAAGGAAACATCCTGTTTTCCAATACAAGCAGATTGAGCGTGAACGCGCCTGGAAAGACTTGGTAGAGGGTGGATCCTCACCAGGCAAAGGCAAAGTGTCACGCAAGGTCTCTCGGAAGCAAATGATAGAGAGCGAATTATTGCCTCCACCAGAGGACGAACCGGCTCCTGTGCCTAGTTTGCCACCTCAGACTCCGAGAAAAAGCGACGACCCGTCTGCACCGGAAACACCGTTCACTGGCTATCGCGAAAGCGCCAGTAAAGCCCCATCCTCAGAATCTGATTCTGAAGGAGATGCTCGGTTAGCAAAACTATGCCAGGAGGGGGGAGTACAGTTCGTCGAAGCGTTACTTTTGCGCGCATATCCACTATTCGGCGGAAATCCCAACCAGTCCAATGTAAAAGAATGGACATATCGCGATATTCAGTGGCTTAAACCTGCTGAACAAAAGGAATGGCGTGCTGCATGCCGTGATGAGCTTGAAGCTCTCCGGAAGCGCAAGGTCTATGACCTGGTTGATCGCCCACGAGACCGGAAGGTCATTAAAAACCGATGGGTCTTCGACATCAAATCTGATGGTCGGAAAAAGGCCAGGCTTGTAGCCAAAGGTTTCTCCCAGGTTGAAGGAATCGACTTCAATGAAGTCTTCTCACCTGTAGTTCGTTTTGAGACAGTGCGAATGATGTTTGCACTATGCGCACTTGAAAACTGGCAAATTCATGCCGTTGATGTGCGAAATGCCTACTTATATGGCAATCTCGACGAAGAAATATACATGGAGCAACCTGAAGGCTTTAAAGAGCCAGGGCGCGAAAACATGGTTTTCCAGCTTCGCCGCGCGCTCTACGGACTTAAACAGGCAGGGTTAGCTTGGTGGAAAGCCCTCGACCGGTCCATGGCCGACCTAGGCTTTAAACGCCTTGTGTCAGATGCTGGTATATTCGTCTACAACAAAGATGGCAATTTCTGCATTGCCGTAGTCTATGTTGACGATGCCTTCTTTATGGGGCCCAAGAACTCTCCTACCGTCCTAAGGCTCAAACGAGCTTTCATGGATAAGTGGGAGTGTAGAGAACTCAACGGCAAAGAGTTCTTGCGCATGCGTATCACTTGGAAAGGCAACTGTGTCCATCTCGACCAGCGAGCCTACCTAGACAAAAATACTGCAGCGTTTTGGTATGAGAATGCGCGAGTCGCACCCACACCATTGCCAACTGGCTATTTACCTTAAAA